TTTCAATTGTTTGCCATTAAATTACCCCCCCCCCCCCACACACACACACACTTCAATCAGGACACTGTTGGGGAAAGCCAGCTTTGTTCCATTCACACCTGTTTGTCTACATGATGACACATGGCGCTTGGCTCTTGGTGATCTTTGTCAGAGGTTTGCCTTCATGAGCTTTCTGGATGACTTCCATTACCTGGATAAGTGCAGGATTAAGACAAAAACAAACAAAAAAGTTACAAACCTACTTTTTTTTGTTGTTGTTTTGAATTATGAGAGGTTCTTTGAATATCAGAGTTTGCATGATTCTTAAAACTCTTTGTCATTGGCTGACAAATGCAGGGGCGACAGCATCCAACAGACCACCCACCAATTATACTTAAAATGGTTCCTTCCTGATAAAGCCAATGAAGCCGAAAGAGCAAGAAACCCAACATATTATGGGCCGTATTTTGGTGCCGAGAGCAAGTCTAGCGCCAGTGATGGCCATGTTCGATCCTGGTTTTGCACTCAAGTCAAAATCAGGCAAGTTTCTGTGGCTTTTTCATAACTGGATTGACGTCTTATTAAAGATGACCGAAATTCAGCCATTTCTGTTTCCTTCGGGTCATTATTTTCAATAGTGAAAAGTACAAAAACAAACAAACGATCAAATCAATATACATTGATATCGACCAATATGAAATGCAGATATTGTGATATACTTTGATCATATCTCATCAATGAGCAAATATATTAAATATGCACCACGTTTCGCCTCTCAGGGAATCATCAGGCTACGAGTGGTTGCATATTTATTAAATTTGCTCGCCTGTTTTATACAGCTATTTTGTGCAGATCTGAGTTCATTACGGCATAAGCGTAGATTGACAGACGACGGCACATTCAGACTTGCGTACGTACGTAAATATTTGGGTTACGTCGATGTAGTTGGTCGGAAGCTAGCAGTGTGCATTGCGTTAAAAAAAGGGGCACAAAACTACTTACGTCATCCTCATATGGGAATCCTCCGAGCTCCAGTTTCGAGAAAACCAGCTGCCCGTTGATTTCAATCTCAAAGCTGGCTATAAAAGACAGAGCGTAAGACTTTTAAACAGATCTCAGACCATAATTTAGATTACTGTGGCATTTATGATTTACCTTTCCGGCCAACGAAGCCCGACACATCCGCATCGGGAAACTCACCCTTGACGACTCGGGCAAGCTCCCGATAACGGGGCTCGTAGCCTCACTTGCCACTGGAGATGATGGAGAAATTCGGTTAAGCGCAGAAGTTAGCCACACACATCAAAAGCAGTAGTTTTAAAGCCTTCTGTAGGCGATAGCAGCTTACAAACACAAAATAAAATGCGTGATAATGTTGAACGGTTACCAATATTCCACTCGTATTGTCACCACTCCCATTTTTTTCTGTTGCAGGCGGAGAGAACGTTAAGCGTCACGACACAAATATCCACAAATGTGACGGCGGATAGTCGTTTAGCTGCTTCACATAAAAGATCTTCCCAAATGGGCGGGGCTATGGGACGCAAACGCGTAGTTCACGCGAGAGGGACGACTCCGTCACCCGGAAGCTCGACTTTTACACATTTCCTACGTTTGGTTCACAACTTTGCTGCGTTTCAAATGATAAACAAAGTCGCGTATGCGTTTCTGAGGTTTGTTGCAACAATTAGATGACAATAGCACACGTAAACTCTCAGATAAGCTACTCCACTCTCATTCCTTCGACACCTGCTCACTCTTTGTGCTCCACCAATCACACATCACTCTCGCGAAATGTGTCTTCAAGGACCCCCGGAATTTCGAAAAACAAACATCTTCATCACTGTTAACGACAGATCGAACGCATATCCCAGTCCGTCAATGTGTAATTAATTCGATGATTTTACGTTCTATTTATGTTTGACTCTATTTTTATGTTCACCCCTTACTCGTGGGTCAGTTTTTTTCTTTAATTGTAGTTGTTTTTATTATTATTATTATTACTATTATTATATGGACATTTCAAGCCACATTTGAAGGTTACATTCGAGTTGTAGTCAAATTTGCACCAAATGTTTTCTGGACTGAAATGTCTTGAGATGAACCCTGCATGCAAAATGAGAAGTTGAAGACGACTTGTCTCCCTGCTGCCAAGAGGCGTGTATGTGGTCATTTCTGGTGACCTTCAGACTTCCATAAAGGCATAAAATTGAGAATGTTGATATCTGGTTGAACATACTGCAGTTTGGCTCACATGTTTCCAGAGACAACGTGACATGTGTATAAGAAGTTAAAGAATGCAAAATAATGGCAAGCAGCGAACATTCAGCAGGTAAGTCAAACTCCGTGCCTATGTAAGAATGTTCATAATAATCTAATGTCCAAAAAAAAAAAAAGTTGCTGTCAATAGCTACCAAGTGCGGAGCCTCCTGTGTGTAAACGCAACACCTACTCAAGTTACTAAAAATGATTCTTTCTTCTACAGCTAATGACTCCTGAAATAAGCCCGAGCTCTTAAAATGAGCAGTAAGCGTTCCCATTTCTATTTGAATGAATGTAAAATGGAGTTTTTAAATTCAACATCTACTTATGGTACCAAAAATGCTTCCTTCCCAACTGTGTTTTGTGTGCGTCTTAGTGGATGGCTGGCATACTTCCCACTTGAAGCTAGTCCTCCTCGGAGGTAGGAACTCGGGAAAGAGCTCCCTGGGGAACCTCCTCCTGGGAAAAGATGAGTTCGTTACCAAGGAGAGGACGTCGTGCTTGCGGCGGGTGGTCCAGGTGGCCGGGCGCTGGCTGACGGTGGTGGACACGCCCGGCTGGTGGTGTGACTTCGGCGTGGACGACACCCCCCGCACGGTGCGCCGGGAGATCCGGCGGAGTGTCGCCATGTGCTCCCCGGGACCCCACGTTTTCCTGGTGGTCGTCAAAGATGGCTCGCACTTCACGGAGAAACGCCGCCGGGCCCTGGAGGAGCACATGGGCCTGCTGGGGCCCCGGGTGTGGCGCCACAGCTTGGTGGTCTTCACCTCGCTAGGTTGGCCCCGGCTCAATTCGGACCAGGAGGTCCTGGAGTCGGAAGCTCTGGGTTGGCTGAGGAATCAGTGCGGACAGAGGTGTCACCTCATTGACTTGAGCGATGGAAGTCGAGCCTCGGAGCTCATGGAGAAAATCCAGAGATTGGTTGTTGCCAATGGAAATGGAGTGTTTGAGATGGAGGAGAGCGTATGCAGTGCCATAGCGGAGGAGAAGAGACGTGTGGAGGAGGACGCCCGCGCCAGGTTTTTGAAAATGAAAACTCACAGAGCCTTTATGAGAGGTAAGGATCTCAAAGTTGGGGGTTTCAAAAAAAAAAGATGAGAGCTTTAAATTAGGATTTCAAGACAAGAGGCAAGGTTTCAAATCAGTCTGCCGAGCTATTGTTGCAAATAGGGTTTGAAGACAGGATTAGTTTTCAGACTTTCAAGTATTGCATCAAACATTTCCAGAGCTGGCTCGCCCTCTGCCTGACATGAGGATCGTGTTGCTGGGAGCTAAAGGTTCTGGAAAGACGTCTTCTCTGAACACCATCCTGGGCTGGGACCAAGGACGGTGGTCCCCGGGCAGGACGGCTCGCTGCGCAGTTGGACAAGGTGTGGTCTTCGGGAGGCAGTTGACGGTGGTGGACACGCCCGGCTGGTGGATGAACTTCTTCGGTCACGAGACCGCCGCCTTCGACCGCCATCAGATCCGGCTCAGCCCGTCCTTATGCGCCCCGGGGCCGCACGCATTCCTGTTGGTGGTGCGCCCGGACCGCGCCTTCTCAGAGACTTACCGGCGGGCGGTGCAGGATCACCTGGAGCTGCTGGGTGGGGACGTCTGGAGCCGGGTCATGCTGCTGTTCAGCTTCGGCGACTGGCTGGGCGAGACGGCCGCCGAACGTCACGTGGAGAGCGAGGGCGAGCCGCTGCGGTGGCTGGCCGAGCGCTGTGAGAATCGAACCCACGTGCTCAACAACCGGACCGCCGGTGATGGATTCCAGGTTAGGGAACTGCTGGGGAAGATCGAGGAGATGGTGGCGGGCTGCGGCGTCGGACATTGGCGGGCGGTGGGAGAAGAGGAGGATCAGCTGGAGATGACGATGAGGGTGGAGGAGGCGAGAGCCACGGAGCGGAAGATGAAGATGGAGCAGCAGAGGAGGGACACCAGGAGGCACCTTGGTGAGACATTGATAACAGTACAGTGATACATTTACTGACACACAATAAAACATGTAGTGGTGCTTTGAGATGCAAATCACGAAACCTTTTGAAGATACGAGCCATCAGACTTTTTTTTTGCTGTGTGTGCAGCATGTAAGCAAATACAGTAGTCATCAATTTTCAAAAAAGAGGCTTCTGGCTGTGTACTGCCACTCTCATTTTAAGTTGACTGAGGTACAATTATTCTCCCCGATGCCAGCATTGTTTGTTGTCTGCCAATGACCAGTTACTAAAAGTAGGGTGACTCTACTTCGTTTATGTGAAACACTGCATTATACTGCCCCATAGTGGCCAAGTCAGGAATACCAGATTTTTTACATTCTGTTTGATTATATTACCCTATGTTTTTATTCAGGGTGTAGTATACTCATATATTATTATTATTATTATGACGTAAGTGGAGTTCATTGCCACCATAGAACTTGTACCTTGAATTTTTGCTTGCAAGTCACAGCAAAAAATTGGTCGACTGATGGCTCCTATCTTAAAATACTTCCAAGCTGGGTCACTCGTATCGCAAGGCTGGTTTAAAGAAATTTATACGATAGTGATTATTTTGACTCACTCAAAGCAGCTTTTTGATGTTCCAGACAAGTCCCGTCGCCTCCCTGAAGTGACGCTCGTTTTGGTGGGTGGCAGCAAAACAGGCAAGAGCTCGTGCGGCAACACGGTGTTGGGCCGTGACTGCTTCCGCGCCGACCGCCCGACCACCTCCTGCGTCCTCGGATGGGCCCGCGTGGACGACCAGGTGGTGAGAGTACTGGACACACCGGGTGGCTTTTCTCAAACTGCGGACTTCCTAAAGGGGGCGCCATCCTGCGCAGCGCTAGTGGTGGTCAACGCCAGCGCCGCCTTCACCGACCTCCAAGGAGAAGCCTTGGAGGCCCAGTTGGGAGGGCTCTGGGCCAGGGCCGTGGTGGTGTTCAGCCACGGCGACTGGCTGGGCGACACGGGAATCGAACAACGGCTGGAGAGTGAGGGGCCGGCGCTGAGGGGGCTGGTGGACAAGTGCGGGAACAGGTACCACGTGTTGGACAACAAACGGCGAGGAGATGGCTCGCAGGTGCGACAGCTAATGGCACAGGTGGAAAGCATGCTGGTGGCGGAATCTCTCGTGACTGCAGCATCATCTGCCCTGCCTCGCCACACGACTGCCAAATTGTGCAAGAGTCCAAGTTTGATGCCCAATGACCATCAGCTATCAAATCACTGTGAGTACTTTGAACTCAACAGCAACATTTATGAGTCACATCCACCTCACAAACTTTCCACTCATTGCAGTGAATTGCAGTGAGCCTTCTAACGAGCCTTTCAGTGAGTCCACCAGTGAGTGTCCCTCAGTGGACTTGAGTGAGTCTTCATCATCTGACAAACAAGTTGCGCTTCCGTCCGCCGCATGGAGCAGGGGGAACGCCACTTCCTGTCTGCTGGCCGCGCTTCAGGACAGATTGCAATCTTTCAGAGTCAACATACCAGCAGCATGCCTCCACATTGACCAAGCCAGATTGCCCATGATGCTCCTGGTGCTGCCCCCAGCCTGCCAGGGGCCGCTTCGCGCCAGACACGTTCGCCCGCAGCGCTCCATCTGCAGCCAGAGTGGAGACTGGAGCAGCTTGGAGGATCTGGAGGCCTTTATCGACTCGTATTTTGACACACTGGCGGAGTGGGAGGACTTGACGCCACCTCCGCCTCCGCCCTGGACAGAGGGCGCCGCCCCACGGTCAGGAGAGCTTCTGCTCTCGTCCATTGAGAGGAAGCTCTCCAAGCTGGACGTGCTGGAGGAGATCCGGGAGGACCTGGCGGAGGTGCGGAGGAGCCTGGAGCTCAGCTGGAAGGTCATGCAAGAGATCAGATGCAAAAATAAACACCAGTGACAGACACTCAGCGGACACAACATTAGGTAGATGTTATATAGCATATCGTATCAGCAAAATCATTTTTAAACAGATTTTTTTGACACCTGTTATGGCCCATCGAGATGATGAGCATGAACATTTGTTTCCACCAGGGGGTGCTGTTGCATAAGTAGTCCAGTCATCGGCCGTCCTGCTTACGTGGTACAATGAACATGCTGAAATTTAACATGATCAAATATGACAAGTTGATACAAAGACAGCTGGCATCGTTTTACAATTATTACAGCTTTCATTTGGGATTGTGGGGATATACATTTTACCCACACACATTCAGTGGGGAAAAAGAATTATGAAAATAATGCTGCATCTTGCAGACATTAGCGTGTGGTTTTCCATAAGGACACACACACAAACTATGCATTGTTGTCAGACTAATGTATGTATTGTAGATTGAGGATTTATGTCAAAATCCATTCTGAATCTATTGGGTTATTTCAACCTCAGGAAACGGTAAATGCACTTGTGATCTCCCACTGAACGTAATAAATATAGTTATTGCATCTTCTTTTAATTAAATAACAACATGGCAAAATACTTGAGATGCTTTTCAGGGTGAATAGGACAAAGTATTAGCCTAACATTGCTAAGCTAAGCGCCACCAACAAAATGGATGACACACTTCCAGGACGCACTGGAGAATAATGGCAAAGTAAGAGATGCCACACACACACACACACACACACACACACACACACACACAAACACACACACACACACACACACACCCACACACCGTCATCAATAT